CTCTTCAATGTACATTAAAATGTTAAGCGCATTACGCTTACACCGACTATAAATGAATCTTTTGCAAATCACTATAGGCCGACATTATTTACGCATTCTTATAGATATTTCTATATTCGTATTCATCTTTAAAGCTGCGTGAACTCTCAGGGCGTGGTCTGTCCTGGCTCTCCAAAATGTCTTATCCTTTGTGACTTTAAGCGAATTTTGTCACCTTACAATCCGTTCCAGGCCGTCGATTTACCTTAATTTCGTTAGGTAGGTTAATCAATATTAACTGAGATCCTTCTTAAATTCAGGATATGTTGTCAGTGTCAAATTCTCCAAGCACTCTTTCCTTATTATATATTCTAAGAATTTCAGTCTCACTCCCCCCCACACATATATATATATATTTTCATGAGGATAAAATCCAGGTAGTGTTCTATGTACAAAACAGAGGAAGAATATAATATGAAAGGCTTAAACACTAACATTCCCTGGTTATAATATATTATACTGGAATCGTAATCCCTATTCAATTCATCAGACCTGCAAATTCAAAAACGTCTGATGAATTTGATCTTGATTACGATTCCAATATAATAACATATAACCACAAAATATTAGTGTTTGAGCCTTATATATATATATATATATATATATATATATATATATATATATATATATATATATATACAGTAGCGTCCAAAAGTAAGGGACAAAATTGAGAAAAACAATGTAAACGGCAAAAAAACAGTAAAAAATACATGTACAATCAATATTTAATAAATGAGCCCTTGCTCTCAATGACAGCTGCACATCTTCGCTTACAAGAACGAATCAATTCTTGACAATCCTCGATACTAATTTTAGACCATTCTTCTTGAAGCTTCACCCACAAATCCTCCGTGTTAGTGGGATTTCTTTCCATAACTTTCACTCCTAAGGTCTTCCAAAGATTTTCTTTTGGATTTAAGTCAGGACTTTGCGGTGGCCAATCCATAATTTCCAAATCTTGCTCGCTAAGGTAACTCATTACCACCTTTGCCTTGTGACATGGGGCATTATCTTGCATAAAGGTAGCCCTATCGAAACCTGAATTCTGTATGATTGGCACAACATGATCTTGAACAATGTTTTTATAGATCTGCGCGTTTACACGAGTTTGTAACCGGACAAGAGGCGTTGTACCTTGGCTAGAAAACATTCCAAATACCATGACGCTTCCGTCCCCAAACTTGACTGTTTTCTTAGTAAACTTTGCACTTAATCTTTCACCAATACGTCTCTTTACATTGTTTTTTCCATCATTTCCAAATAAATTAAACTTGCTTTCATCACTGAAAAATACTTTTGCCCAATTTTCATATGTCCAAATTACATACCTGTTTGCAAACTCTAATCTCTTCTTATTATTCTTCGAACTAACAAGTGGTTTCTTCCCTGGGGTTCGATTAAACAGCCCTATTTCTTGCAGTCGTCTACAAACAGTCTGTCTTGACACATTAACACATGAGGTACTATTCATAACTCTTTTAATTTCTGTGCAAGACTTAAAACGGTCCTTTAATGACATACGCTGCATTATTTGATCTTCTCTTGCCGAGGTTTTGCGGGGTCTGCCGGTTTTAAAAGCACTATTTTGCCAGTATCATTGTAGGATTTAACAACCCTGCGTACAACACTCTTGGAACGTTTCACTTTCTCTGAAATCTCTCTAATGGTGAGCTTTTCCTTGTGTAGCTTCACAATAGCTTGTCTCACAGAGTAATTAAGTTTTTGGCGTTTCGCCATGGTGCCGGCTGATGCAACGTTTACAAATGACTAAGTAAGACTTATTCTTTAGAGGAAATCAAAAAATTTGAATATAGCATACTGTTTACATTGTTTTTCTCAATTTTGTCCCTTACTTTTGGACGATCCTATTTTGAAAATAAATAAATAATTGTTATAATTCTTTTTCTATCCTTTGCAAATGATTCAAATTTTAGTATGTTATTATGGATGATAACGACTACCAGTTGTCAAAATTTCAGCTTTTCACAGTTGTTATTTCTAACAAATATTAGGTTTTAAAATTTTGTCCCTTAGTTTTGGACGCTACTGTATATTGGTTTGGTTTGTTTTATGCAGATCAACTTCAATGAATTATTTAATGCCGACAAGATTTTTATTGCTGGTAATATTTTTTTCAAAATTACTTCTGGTAAAACTTTTCCAAAAATGCATTGCTGGTAATATTTCTTTTTTCAAAAATATATTGGTGGTAATATTTTTTTACGAAAAAGTATTGCTGGTAATAATGTATTTACGGTAATAATTTTTCTCGTCAAAAATTCATTGCTGGTTATAATTCTTTACAAAAATGTATTGCTAGTATTAAAACACACATTTACACGTTTCGACCCCAGTTCGTAGAGGTGGGGGGTGCAACAACCCGCCTACAATGAGAGCCTCTACAGGTACAAACACCCGGGTAAAGGGAGGACCTGCAATTAAGAAACGGCTACATGCTCCTCAAAACCAGAGGTCCCGCCCTTTGATGCAGTCCATCGTCTAACCCAGGACACAGATGTAGTTTATCGTCATACACAGGACGGCATCCTTTTTTAGTATTTAACTGTCGATATTACTGCTGGACGTAATTATCAAAGCGCACTTTTTATGGTTTGAAAAATGTTCATATGAAAAGGAAAAAATATAACTAACATATAGTTAGATATATAGTTTCAAAATTATACAAGGTCTCAAAACATCGTTATCTAATACGCGATTTCCTTTGGAGTGATGAGAAGATCATTGTATCTTTTTGTGTATTGACTGTAATGGCCTAATGAAGGGTCGGCTACTTTGAGACAAGGTTGACGGTAACCCCAATGCAGTTATGTCCGGTTTTCGATCGAACTTCTCTGTCCGATACTGCTGCCAACAGGCAGAAGTCATGGCTTTTTAGTTCTTCTGATGTGACATCTGATGACAGACTAGCTGGTCTTAATTTCCATACATAGTGAGGCGCATGCGTGGAAAGGGTTTGTATTTACGCCGGAGCCAGGGTCACAGCAAAATGGTCGACTAGGTGCACGGGTTCTTGAGAATCGTTCGTAATTAAGCTGATATTGGCGTTTCTGTATGCGTCAAAAGCCGAGGAAATATTTTGCTGCATCGGAGTGGGTGGATGTTCGGCCGAGTCGTTGAGCGGGTGGGGTGGTCTTCCGTGTAGTGGGCGGTCGACTAATTATCTTTGCCTGGATTCTTTTGTCGAAATGTGTGTGGTGGTTGAAGTCTTGTTACGTTGCTAAGATGACTGGGAATGTTTGTTTGGATTTAAAATGGTCTTCTGTTTTGTTTTTGCTTTTTTATTTTTGCTAATTTTACAAAATAAGTCTGCTTACAAAGAGATAAGGAAACTGATTTGCAATGATTTGAATTAGATAAGGTATAAAAACAAAAAACTTATCACTTGTTGGTATTACCTCGAAGATAAAGATTCTTACCATACTAAAAGATGGAAATCCTTTTTTATAGTTATTATTAGAGCTTACATTAATCCCTTGAAAGAAATCAGAAAGAATATATTACTTCAATATTACACGTAGACATTTAAGTTATAACAATGAATAAGTTTAAGAAACAATTCTTTTACACCTTTTAAAGTTAAAGGGGGGGCATGAGGTCAGAATAAAAAAAATAGATGCAACCGCTAAATTAAATTTCCCTATCGCCTGAAGAAGGACTATCTTAGTACTGAAACATGAAAATTTTTGCGTAGCGATGTAAAATGTTTCATTGCAATTTATTATAATAAAAACATTATAAAAGCTATATATATATATATATATATATATATATATTTTATATATATATATATATATATATATATAAGCAAGTATATGGATATAGATCCGACAGTATGAAGAAAAAAATATACTGAAAAAACAAACAAAAATCCTAATATGCGATTATGCTGTTTGTTTAATGTCAACGTCAGACGTTTCCGGTCTAATAGACCATCTTCAGGACATATTCATAAAACATAATTAACATAGACCATATACAATTCAACATGAAAAAAGACGATGGACATAAAAGCAATACCAAACCAAACTTTTTTATGTCCATCGTCTTTTTTCTATCTTATATTTTTTTTTTTCTTATATATATATATATATATATATATATATATATATATATAGGATCTCTGGGCCTTGAGGACAAATAAAAGAGCACTCTTTTAAGAATAGTGTTTTTGGTTACTGGAATTTTGAAGGAAGGATGGTCTTTCAGATGATTGATAGAGAATAGTTTAATTTGGGAGGCGTTAAAATTAATATATATATATATGTATGTATATATATTAGAAAATCAATATTTAGGGCACCCCGAGGCGGTGTAATGGTTACCATTCATGTCTTGCTAGAAGTAGACTGAGTAGAGAGTTCGATCCTCACTGGGTGCCCCATTCTTTCGGCCTTGTGCCACATCTAAGCTACATGATTGGAAAATCACTATGTATATATATATATATATATATATATATATATATATATATATAGATAGATAGATAGATAGATAGATAGACAGATAGATATAGATACACAGACAGATAGATTGATAGATAAGCATCAACTCATTCAAGTTTGGAAGATTAGAATTGAATACGATTTGGGTTCTTCGCATGTCTATGCTCACACACATACAGGACCCGCATATATATTTATATATGATGCATATGTACTCAGTTTGGGTGTAGGGTTTGCTATGGCGTTGGCACATATCAAGTTGCGAAATAGATTAAAATGTTGCCAGTTGATGCAAGGTAGATACACAGTCAAAAACACGAATTAAGTGCCAGCAACGTAAAAGGTTTCAACTCGATAAATCGATAAGGAAATCGATCGATCGATCGAACAAGGGAACAATATATGAAAAACGGAAAGAAACTGAGACTTAAAAAGAAAGAATGAACGAAAGGAGAAAAATGAACAGGAAATGAAAATGGCGGTAGGATAGCAAAAATCTTAATGGAAGGAGAAAAGAAAAGAACAAAAAGAATATCTCATCGCTATGGCAAAAAGAGACGGAGTAAAAAAAAAAAGGGTAGACATGTTAGAAAATAGTGATGAAAACGAAAGAAAATGGCGAAGAAGGAAAAAAAAATACGAATTCAGAAAAAGAAAGCTAAGAAAAATAGTCCATGTGTAATTAGTAAAGGAAAGAAGAAGAAAAGAGAAAAGGAAAGAAGGAGAAAAGAGTAAAAGAAAGAAGGAGAAAGGAGCTAAAGAAAGAAGGAGATAAGAGTAAAGGATAGAAAGGGGAAAAGAGTAAAGGAAAGAAGGAGAAAAGAGTAAAGGAAAGAAGGAGAAAGGAGTAAAAGAAAGAAGGAGAAAAGAGTAAAAGAAAGAAGGAGAAAGGAGTAAAATAAAGAAGGAGAAAAGAGTAAAAGAAAGAAGGAGAAAGGAGTAAAATAAAGAAGGAGAAAAGTGTAAAAGAAAGAAGGAGAAAGGAGTAAAATAAAGAAGGAGAAAAGAGTAAAAGAAAGAGGGGGAAAAGAGTAAAGGAAAGAATAGGGAAAAGAGTAAAAGAAAGAAGGAGAAAGGCTTAAAAGAAAGAAGGGGAAAAGAGTAAAAGAAAGAAGGAGAAAGGAGTAAAATAAAGAAGGGGAAAAGAGTAAAGGAAAGAAGGAGAAAAGAGTAAAAGAAGGAAGGAGAAAAGTGTAAAAGAAAGAGGGGGAAAAGAGTAAAAGAAAGAGGGGGAAAAGAGTAAAAGAAAGAGGGGGAAAAGAGTAAAGGAAAGAATAGGGAAAAGAGTAAAAGAAAGAAGGAGAAAGGCTTAAAAGAAAGAAGGGGAAAAGAGTAAAAGAAAGAAGGAGAAAGGAGTAAAATAAAGAAGGGGAAAAGAGTAAAGGAAAGAAGGAGAAAAGAGTAAAAGAAAGAAGGAGAAAAGATTAAAAGAAAGAAGGATAAAATAGAAAAGGAAAGAAAAAGAAAAGAGGAAAGGAAAGAAGGAGAAAAGAGGAAAGGAAAGAAGGAGAAAAGAGTAAAAGAAAGAAGGATGAAAGAGAAAAGGAAAGAAAAAGAAAAGAGGAAAGGAAAGAAGGAGAAAAGAGTAAAGGAAAGAAGGAGAAAAGTGTAAAGGAAAGAAGGAGAAAGGAGTAAAGGAAAGAAGGAGAAAAGAGTAAAAAGAAGGAGAAAGGAGCAAAAGAAAGAAGGAGAAAAGAGTAAAGGAAAGAAAGAGAAAAGAGTAAAGAAAAGAAGGAGAAAAGAGTAAAAGAAAGAAGGAGAAAAGATTAAAAGAAAGAAGGATAAAATATAAAAGGAAAGAAAAAGAAAAGAGGAAAGGAAAGAAGGAGAAAGGAGTAAAGGAAAGAAGGAGATAAGAGTAAAAGAAAGAAGGATGAAAGAGAAAAGGAAAGAAAAAGAAAAGAGGAAAGGACAGAAGGAGAAAGGAGTAAAGGAAAGAAGGAGTAAAAGAAAGAAGGAGAAAAGTGTAAAGGACAGAAGGAGAAAAGAGTAAAGGAAAGAAGGAGAAAGGAGTAAAAGAAAGAAGGAGAAAGGAGTAAAGGACAGAAGGAGAAAAGAGTAAAGGAAAGAAGGAGAAAGGAGTAAAGGAAAGAAGGAGAAAGGAGTAAAAGAAAGAAGGAGAAAGGAGTAAAAGAAAGAAGGAGAAAAGAGTAAAGGAAAGAAGGAGAAAAGAGTAAAGGAAAGAAGGAGAAAGGAGTAAAAGAAAGAAGGAGAAAAGTGTAAAAGAAAGAAGGAGAAAAGAGTAAAGGAAAGAAGGAGAAAGGAATAAAAGAAAGAAGGAGAAAGGAGTAAAGGAAAGAAGGAGAAAGGAGTAAAGGAAAGAAGGAGAAAGAGTAAAGGAAAGAAGGAGAAAGGAATAAAAGAAAGAAGGAGAAAGGAGTAAAAGAAAGAAGGAGAAAGGAGTAAAGGAAAGAAGGAGAAAAGAGTAAATGAAAGAAGGAGAAAGAATGAATTAGGATGATAAAGTAATGGAAATGTAAATGCAAGAAAAAAGCAAATAAAGAAATTATTGACGAATTTAATAAAGGAATAAATAAAAAGAAAAAAGCAGTGAATGAAAAAAATATTGAATGATAGAAAAGAAAAAGAAAGAGACAAAGAAAGAGAGAATGAAAGAAAGAAAATAAGAATGTATAATGAAATAAATAAATAGAAAATATAGAAAGACATAATAGAGAGAAAAATCAAAGGTAAACAGAAAGAAAAAAGAAAGAAAGAAACGAAATCGACTGAAATTAATAAATAGAAAATAAATAAAGAAACAATAAAGCGAAAAAGAAAGAAAAAAGAAAGAAAATGAAAGAAAAAAGGAAATAGATTGAAATTAATAAATAGAAAATAGAGAAAGTAACAATAATGAGAAAAAAAGAAAAAAGAAAGAAAATGAAAGAAAAAATGAAAGAAAGAAAGAAAATGAAAGAAAGAAAGGAAATAAATTTAAATTAATAAATAAAAATTATAGAAAGAAGCAATAAAAAGAAAAAAAGAAAAAGGGCAAAGCAAAATAAAAAGGAAAAGAAAGAAAAAGAAAATGGAAGAACAAAGAAAATATAGAAAAGGGCTATTCAATAAATAAATATATTTATAAATAAATAAACAAAATTGGTTATAAAATGAAAGAGACAATAAACTCCTATATATTTAGAGATTCTTGATAAACTCCAAAGAACCAGCAGTGTTACTGGTCCTGACCTGGCATCCCGGCTTCAGTCACTTTCTCACCGCCGTAATGTAGCTTAACTGTGCCTTTTTTTTTTTTTATAAATACCTTCAGTAGGAACAAATGCAAGCAGGTTAAGGGGGAAAAATGTACAGAAATAAAAAGAATGTAGACCAAAGATAAAGAAGATATTCATAAATGTAGTGAAACTAATAGGAAATAAACAGTATTAATTATATTTACTAGCCTGAATGTTCTAGAAATTTTGTAGAAAATATGCGTTCTCCAGCAGGAATCGAACCTGTGTCCTATACGCCGTAATGTAGCTTAACTGTGCCTTTTCTATAAATACATTCAGTAAGAACAAATGCAAGCAGGCTAAAGAGGAATGGCTCAACGAAAAATGTGCAGAAATAAAAAAGGAATGCGTACCACAGATAAAGCAGATATTCATAGAACTAACAGGACAAAATACTTTCTCGTCAACAGGATGTATAAATCCGAGCTGGGAACGTTGATATTAGAGAAAGAAAACATACATAAGAAATGGAACAAATATATCGGAGAATTCTTCCATGATGAAAGAGAACAAACGATAAGAAATATCGAAGGACCAGAAATATCAAAATCTGAAGTGGAATCAGCACTGGCCAAGTTGAACAAAAACTCAAGATTCAGAAAATAAAAAGAATGTAATAAAGCACTTATTTTGATTATCTGCATTACTAAGAATAATTACTTCATTACTTAAATATAAAATACAACTAAACAACCTGCATTTGTATAGCCCTTTCTGATGTCTTTCTGACCATAAATATTGCATTTCTTGTTCTAGTGTCTTTGACGAACCTGTACTGTTCTTGTCCTATTTCTGATCTAATTCTGTTGCACACTCTATTTATCAGAATTCGGATGATAAGTTTTGTTATATGGCTCATTAGTCTGATTGTCTGATGGAGTTCACATTCGTTTGCAGCTTGCTTCTGAAGCAGTGCTATGAAAATAGATCTACTTAGGTCTTCCAGTATATCACCATTATCATTAATTTCATTTATTATGGCTGTAATCTTGTCAACACCAAAGTCATCTTAGGATGCCAGAATCTCTATTGCAATTCCATCTGATTCTATTGCTTTGTTTCTGTTCATTTTGCATCACAGTTAAAAACAGATATACATAGGAGAAAGAAAAAAAAAGAACTAGCAGGACAAAAGACATGCTTAGCAACAGTAAAATCCAAAGATGAGACAATAATAGAGAAAGAAAAAAACACTCCAGATATGGAATAAATATATCAAAACTCTTCCATGACGAAAGAGAACAAACGGTAAGAAATACTGAAGAAGCAGAAATATCAATATCTGAAGTGGAATCAGCACTGGCCAAGTTGAACAGAAACACAAGATTCAGAATTTAAAAAAAAAAATGCAATAAAGCACTTATTTTGATTATCTGCATTACTAAGAATTACTTCATTATGTAAATATAAAATACAGCTAAACAACCTACATTTGCATTGCTCTTCCTGATGTCTTTCTGACCATAAACATTGCATTTCTTGTTCTAGTGTCTTTGGCGAACCTGTACTGTTCTTGTCCTATTTCTGATCTAATTCTGTGGCACACTCTATTTATCAGAATTCGGATGATAAGTTTTGTTATATGGCTCATTAGACTGATTGTCCGATGGAGTTCACATTCATTTGCACCTGATTTCTTAGACTGTCCTATGAAAATAGATCTACTTAGGTCTTTCTGTATGTACCTACTGACTTTTATTTCATTTATTATGACTGTAATCTTGTCAACACTAAAGTCATCCAAGGCTGCCAGAATCTCTATTGCAATTCTGTCTGGTTTTGCCGCTTTGTTTTTTCTGTTCACTTTGAATCACAGATAAAAACAGATATGCATAAGAGAAAAAATAGCAGGAAAAAGACATGCTTATCAACAGAAAAATCTAAAGATGAGACAATGATAATAGAGAAAAAAAGAATACTCTTGAGATGGGATGAATATATTGGAGAACTCTTCCACACCGAAAGAGAACAATCGTCAATATATAAAATTATCGAAGGGCCGGGAATATTAAAATCTGAAGTGCCATCAGAACTGGCCACAATGAACAGAAACATTACGACAGACCCAGACGAAATCATAAGAGAGACGCTAGCAGCTTTAAATGATTTCGGCGTAGACAACATATATGCGTCCACCGACAGGAATCGAACCTGCATCATATACGGAACTGTCATATAACCTGACGTGCTTTTACAGAATTCGCCACAGAGGAGCGTTTCGGGTAACAAGGTCGATTTTACTGCTTTTAAACTACAAATTACGTTGCTAACCAAAATCTCTGTGTAAAAACACGTCAGGCTAAATGACGGTTCCGTATAGGATACAGGTTCGATCCCTGTCGAAGGACGCATATTTTCTAAGACATTCAGTCCGGTAAATGTTGTTAATACTGTTTATTATAAACAGAGCACTTATTTAAATATTTTATCTATAAAAAAAGAATGTATAAACATAAAAACATCTTAACATAATTGTCGGACTTTGTCCATTTCATAAGGTATAAATAGATATATTTAAACTTATATATTAATATATATATATATATATATTTATGAAAGCTACTTTATATCTTCGTATCAGCTTGGTGCATTAACACACACACACACACACACACACACACACACACATATATATATATATATATATATATATATAATAATGTTAATGTGATGTTAGCGCAGTTGTTGAATCAAAATTAGTTCTTTGGAGATTTTCACATGGCCCATTTATTTGCACGCTCAATGAAAAGACGGTAGAAAGAGCTTAACAAATGTTGATTCTTTATTTTAAAATCAAAACATTAAGACGAGTCAAAAAATGAGGACTATTTGATTGCATTCAAATGCAAACACCAGCAGATCCGGTTTCGGAATAAAAATGCCCAATAAACAGTTCTTCGGAGCCACCATTTCTAGTGGAATTATAAAAAAAAAAAACAAGAAAATTCCTGCAAATTTTAATGTAATAATCTTATGTATTTGTGTTCTTCACAGCACTAAAGAAACGGTCAAAGATCTATTAAAATGCGAGCATTCCTCGCTATCATGTGTATATTACTTTTCTGTGAGAAAAGGTAGGAATTACCGAATGTATTGGGAAAATAAGAAAGTAAGTTTGGTTTAAAAAAATCAAAAGAGAAAATCGAAAAAGAAATTAAATATTTAAGTTATGTCTAAATTAGAAAATAAATATTTTCGCGTTGATTTATTTAGTTTTCTTTATTACTCATTGCAGCAACTGGTTTAAAGAAAACAGCTTCCGTTCTGTCCAAACTCATTTCCGCTTACATTGTGAGGAAATAAACACAGTTTCTTCAATCAATCACTTTTTAAAAAAAATGTAATAATTCTATAATGCCCATTTATATAAATTGTTACTGTTTTCAAATACACACAGACAGGCAGACAGACTGACACACACACACACACATGTATATGCATTTGTATATGTATATATGTATGTATAGGTATATCTATTGGTGTAGACATTTACGCTCAATATCAGTACGTAAGTGAGTTCTATATCGATTAGCGGTTTTACTAATTTGTTAAAAGAAAACAAGCAATTATTTTACACTTTGTTGTCAATGCACTTGATTCAAGTTCACTGGTTAATATTCAAACGCACAGACCGATCATTATAATGAGAAATTATTGATTCACATTCCTACACACTCACACAGACACACGCGCACCTACGGACTCTATCTCTCTTTCTATTTCTATCTCTGTCACCCCCCCCCACATATATATATATATATATATATATATTATCATCCAGAAATAGTAGATCCTATTAATATGAAATATTAAAACTGATCCACAAAAGAGAGCTCAATATAATTTATATTATAGAGCATATAAATGAAGTAAAATCAATGAGATCACAAGAATTTACCCCATACAATTCAATATATATATATATATATATATATATATATATATATATATATATATGTGTGTGTGTGTGTGTGTGTGTGTGTGTGTGTGTGTGTGTGTGTGCGTGCGTGTATGAAGAAATATACTCTTAATGTGTACTATATTTATGGAATAAAGTGCTCAATATCAGAGATAGAGTATGTTTAAATATAAAAGTGAACAGTGAAGTCAACATGAGAGATTTTTTCATGCTAGACGCAATGACCAGACAATTGCGTCTGGCATGAAACAGCCTGTCGCTTCTAAGTGTTGACTTGAATGTTCATTTCTATATATATATATATGTGTGTGTGTGTGTTTGTGTGTGTGTGTGTACAATAAAATCCAAAATTATTTCATATGAATCATAAGTTTTTGTTGGTTGAAATAAGCCTATTCCGCATATGAGATAATTTGTGATTTTATTGTCTACTAATTATTTGCTCATTAATAATAAATACACTGAGCTCTTGTGGATTATTTTTATTATTTTATATTACTAGGATCCACATG